AGTTTTGTTCAGAAAAACTACTGCATTTCTAAAAAAAGGGAAGAATTTGATACTGCGTTTTTAAATGAATGACAAGTACTGTAGCAAAGAATATTCAAGAATCTGCCCCGAAATTTCTTTAATAATCGTCCTTAATAATTCAGAAATACCATTCCTTTTCAATAACTGCTGTGTCTGCTATTTTAGTTGTTCCATCCAGTCGGTATTTCTTCGATATAATCGCTGAAAAATAAATGGGAAGAAAACCATCAGGAAATTGAGAGCAAAAGGATAAGTTCAGAATGGCTCAAAATAGAAACTTCAGAAATCGGCCCTATAACAAGTAGGCTTCAGGCAGGTAAGAAGGGTGATGAGGTCAAATTGTTTAGCATTGCACCTAGCCAAGGTGCTGACCCATAATCTTGTAGCAGCACCTTAGTCAGAGTACAAAGCATTACAAAAGACCAATGTGAAAACTAATGAATACTGAGGGCAAATGGATGGTTGGATGAATGCATAAATGAATGAGTGAATGAATAAAAGAAAAAAGGAAGCGATGAATGAATTAATAAATAAGGGAATTAAGTAAAGGAATAGATAAAATAATCGCGAAGGATAGCAGGAAAGGACATAAATTAGCAAATCCAAGAACAATAGCTATAGCTAATTTGTAGCAAGAGATCTATCCACAGAACAGCGTCGAAACTACGAAAATAGTGCCAATTCCTTTCCTCTTGAATGCTGCAACAAAAAAATGAATCATCATTCAGTCGTTAATTCACTCTTTATATATGACACTCGATCTGTGACCCGTTCTCGGAGTGCAAGAATGAGGAGGTGCAAGAATGTGAGTAGATACCCACTTTGCTGCCCTGTTCATCTCTTCTTTTCCTCTGAATGACCGTTTGAAAAAATGTGTGTTACTAGCGCAAAAGCAATCACTATGCGATTGTTATACGTCATTTTTTCTTCACAATCGACAGGCCTGCTGACAGTTATGTACCATCCCTCCACATTTCTTACTTCCAGCTGTCACTCAAATATACCTATTTCGATAGCCGCCAAGCTCTATGAACTGTGCCTATCATTTTTAAAGCTGTTTCTTTTTATAGAACCGAAAGAAGAAAAAGACAGATTTTTTTTCAGTCAGATGAATCATCTATGCACACAGACTCACACAATCTTCTTTCTTGTTAGTCATTCAACGTAATGAATCGCTTCCTTCAAAATGATGTGTTCACTAGCAAATTTTCACCATTTTTTTGGTAGAATGAAATTCAATAGAAAGCCCAAAATTTGAAAAAATGGAATAATGAAGAATTATGAAAGTATATTGTCCAGTCACGTTTATCATTTTAGTTCTAAGCGCTGCTGTTATCAGCGACGTTCTCTAGTAAAGCTGTGACTGCATTTTGAGCATAGTCACTGACTCAAATTACTACTCTGAATGAAATACAGTTTGTCTGGCGAGTAATTTTTCATCGACGTGCACTTTAAGTCTTGTAGAAGATTGAGACTGGAAAGTTTGTGCATGCGAACAATTCAAAATTATTTTTTTATCTGAAATTAAATTGATCAACAAAACATCTTTCTTTTCCAGTCAAACGGAAAAAACTCTGTTAAGTAAATTTTTTCAAGCTTTGACAATTACAAGGGTCATTTGTCATCCTTCTGCTTTTTTCATAACTTTGTATCTTGATTAATTCAAGCGGAAATAGTTGGCATCCATCTCCATCCTGTGCCATTTTTGAAAGCTAGATTCTGCATATAAATAAAAAGAAAGGAAGCTACTTTTCCACATTATAAAGCTTTCTCAGGATGTGAATGAATTAAATGCATTTATATTGTTGAAGTCTATCAAGAAAAATTGGAGTTTTTGCGAATCATGTTTAACAGCATTTGATGTAGTCTAATCAAGCTTTAATACTAATTTAAACTTTAAATGTAAAAACCTTTCCTGATGCGAATCTTACCTAACAATTTATGACCTATACCAAAAGATCTAAGATTTCTTCCAAGCTCCTTTTAATCACTACAATGCTTAATCTAAGGCTAATATGAATTCCACAGTAAAGTAATTAGATCATTTTTGAAACCATAGATGTTATCGCTGTAACTAAAATTTGGAATGACATCAAATATAAAGTTACTGTAATTGAAATGTCACAGATATAAAATTAGACGAAATCTACTGCTCGACTGAAACAGATATTTGGAAGAACTAACATGATTCCAAAAAGGTCACAGGTTTTGGCAAATATCATTAAAAAATGATTAGAATGATTTAGAAGAAAATATATCAAGAACAAATAGCAAGTAGAGTTGTTGGTCGGAAAGATTCCTTCGGCACTTTTCAGTCTCATAACGCCATGTTTTCATAAGAATCTTTAGATAACACTAAAACAACTTTCAGATTTGTTGAAGCTCGGTGAAATTTCATTTATCCCTATACTTATCGCTTTTAAACGATTTTTTGCAATTTATTGAACCACCTATCCTAACCACCTATTATGCACCAGCTCTTCCAAAAATTATTCATTACACTTCTTTGAAAATTCGATATTACTAAAAAGTAACAGGAAAGAAGTGAAAAAATGAAGTAAAAATTGGGTAAAATTACCTTGCAATGAACTTACATATTGTCTAAATGCCGTTAAGCCATATATGATGCAGATTTAATCAAACTATTACAGACATCTGATTCCTTTGAGTATCAGAGAAGCATGTCTTTAATTCCTTAATTTTCTCTGTCATGCAGTAATGTGTAAAAAAAATTAGCATAATGGAGCGAGATTTATGGCAACCAAATGTCATGAAGCAAGCTGTTTTACATGAATTCAAATGATGAGAATTTCTGGTAAGCATTGATGATTTAGTGTTACTGTGAATATATCGGTCAGCAGTAAGCAATTATTCTTAAGTAACAGTTAAAATTTGATTCTGCATTAGCAATTAACAACACTGTCGAATCATTTTCACTTGAAATTCGAAAAGGATGTTCTTCGGAACATTCAATCCTACACTACTTTCAGAAAGCTTATCCCACAATGAAAACTCAATCGAGCAAACAAATGTGGGCTACAAAAAGTTGACGGAAAAACAAAGAAATTGCAGAGGAAGACATAACTTGTGCCATAAAACATAAACTAAATGTTAGCTAAGCCACCAACTAAACTTATGCTTACACTTCATAATGGTCTTTTAGATAGTTCGATAAAAGTTGGTCAATTTTATTAGGCCAAAGATTCTGTGCAGCAACAGGATAAATTTGTAAAAAGTACAACAGTAATTCGAGAACAACTTGAACAGATAAACATCTCGAAAACAGTTGCATGGAGTGATAACAGAAGACAAATCAGTAGAACCAAATTTTAAAATATGCTTGGAGGCCTGTGCTTTTTAATTGAAATAGTTAGAGCCTATTCAGTGTTCCAAGGCAATGCAAGTTTACTCTAGTGAAAATGTATTTTGAAAGCTGTTATTTCTAATCAGCACGATGAATATCTATAACATATCTATGTTTTATGACATTGAACCACTACCACTGTGCATTTAGTATGGATGAGATGACAGTTAATTCTTAAGTCAGTTGCTGAATTCAAGATTCTAAAATCACCCTTAACGACTCGAAGAATCAACTTTCAAGTACAAGTACTTAAATCATCTACAACCTCACGACACATACCAAGAATTCCTGACACTGCAACACCTACTTGTCACATCCCATGCTCTAGTATGGATTCAGGAACATTTGAAGTTATTCTAGCACGACCTGAAAACTAATGCACACACTCCTCTGGATACTTGTTATTCCATTGACCACACCTGTATTTATAAATTATGCCTTAGTTGTGAATTGTAGAAGACCCTAGAACTCACTTTGAGCTACATTCTACAGAGACTCAATACTCATTACACATACTAATAACGGCTGGTACTGTTACAAATTATTCTTACTTCATACTCTGATGGGAATCAATCAGACGCGAAATGTAGATCACTGACGATTTCACTGAAGAATTAGGGATTTGAACATAGAATTTTTCTAACACTTTCAACGAAAGCAGTGGATATGTGCTATCTTTGACGTAGTAAAAAAAACTTCATGAAATTTTTAAAACAATGGCTTGACATGCAGGCCCGAATGCAACAGAAAAAACTAGAACAGAAACATAGTGTTAAATACAAATTATTTTCCGTTTTCTTAAAAATTCAGTAAAACAAAACTATTTAAACACAAAGACAAATGCAATAACTGCAAAATGAACAACCCATATATAAAAAGATAATGAAAGATTCCGAAAGAATGGAACTCAGAATCGTTAACATAATAAAACTATACACCTTACAAGCTCCATCAGATTTCCGTCAGCATACCACTACTATTACTACTTTGTGGCATCAAGCTTCCTTCAACATCTATTTGCTATATAAACCATTCTGTGACATAGAACTCATGAATAAAGGTAAAACTATTGCGAAACAGCAATAAGAAAGACCACACAGTTCAAAGCCATTATAGAGGAAAAAACTACGAGCAGTGACTGTATGATACAAGGTGAAAACAATCATTCACAAGCACTGCTATGATAAAAGATAAAAACTGTTCCCTATTTAAACTTAGTTTACCATGAACTAATTTTTTCAGGATTTCATCTTTTTCGTAGTTCATTAATAAGTTATTAAAGAAAATGGGCAGTTTTCAATAACATAACCTTAGAATGGATGAAAAATGAAGTGGCAGTTAATATTGACGACAGAAAATGAGGAATACTGTCGACAAGAAACAAATGGCACACTAGAAATTAATACAATGTACAAAATAACATCCACTTTTTCCAAACATCGTGGCCACTCTCAAATAAATTTATAAAATTCTGGATAAATCAACATTGCATGGCTACTTATTTTGAAATCATACCACAATTAAACGCCTACTACACTTATGCCGACAAAAAAATCAATAATAATCGAAGTTTTCCAAATATTCGATTTCTTATGTCGATAAGCGATTAAATTCATCAGTAACTTGAATCAGATAATTCCCTATTGTTCAAAGAGTTCGACTGCGGATGTGCGCAATCAACGTATGCTGGCCGAAACACCGTACGTACCTGTTCTGTTAATCGCTGTTGTTGTGAAGAATCCGGAACAGGTGAATTCCGAGAACCACGATCAAACTTTCCTCCTTCCCCTCTAACTCGAGTTAAGGCATGTTTATGTCGCGATTCATGTAGATATTTCTAAGAAGTGAACACAAATAAACTTTCTCAAACTACCATCAGTTTCATACAGAAAATGAGAAAGGGATATGAAACATTTACATAAAATGAAAATATAACTACTTACTCTTCTTTCTTTAGAAATTCTTCCTTCACTCTCCAACTTTGCTCGTACAGCTCTTCTTTTCAAAATCCTGTAAAGGATCAATGCCTTAGTATACAAATAAATTCAGGTTAAATTTATAAGAAAAAACAGGAGAAAGCCAACCTATGATATTGTTTAGCATTCACGAAAAGAGGCTCTTCATCAGGTTTTGAAATGATAGGATTATTTACTATGTTCTGTAATAGATTTTAATCAGTGAGACATAACTCAATAATACGTATCTAAAATGAAAAAGTGCATTTAGTGGCAATGATATCTTAAAAATTACCTGAGGAGTGAGAATTTGAACCACATTCGAAAGGTCAATCCCTTTGGCATCTAAAAATTGCAAATACATACTGCTAACAGAACTGGGAAAATAATTCAACATTTCCTTTAACATCAATCATCAGAGATCAACATTGGAAGACCAAGCTCTGACAAACATTTAACAATAGAATAGAATCACACTTCAAATCATTCTCAAAATTCAAAGAAAATATTCATTTTTTAACAAGGCCAATTAGAATGGCATTACACAACATTGATCTATACTATGTACATCAATATTTCATGCGTACAGGTGATCTTGCTTAAAATAGAATTCAGATCTCCAAGCTCTTACAGTTAGGAAACGAATATTTTCAATAATGCAAAATGGGTGATACAAAGCAGAACGCGCTCACTCCCTGCTTAAAAAATAAAGTGCGGTCTATTAAAAATAAAAGTACTCTTGTCATATAGTATAGCTTTTTCGGTAGATTTTCCAAATTCGATTCTAAACCACTGCCCCTTCAATTTTGCTCAATATATTACCTTGTTATTTATGCATTCCATAGTACTAAAAGAAACACTGAATGTAAGAAATTGGACTTTATATCTTTCACTTTCACTACATCTGCTATGCTAATCCATTGAATCCATACCAGTTATATCAGTTAACAAATATATGAGCAAGTTTTTGAACTAGAAATTGATGGATTATAATCAAGCATGGAGACTTTTTCATGAACTGAAAACAATTTATTGCCATTAATATAAGAAACTTTTCAAAATATACCTGTATAAATATATGGTGTGTTCACAGCTGTTGAAGGACATGGCTGCTGAGGTTGTTCACCAGCAGACATAACTGATGAACTAGGAAGAGTAAGGAAAGATGCTGTTTCATTTAAATTGATCACTTGAACATTACTCGGCAATACCTAATAAGAATACGATATAAATTAAATTCAATAATGACTTAATAGTCACTCATTAAACACAGAATGCATTATGATTCCATCTCATTCATCAGTAAAAGTAAATAATTTAATAAGCAGAAAAGGAAAATTTTATGAATGTAATTTTTATGAAATTTTAAGAATGAGAATAACAAAGTCCCATAACACACAATACCAAATTCATTAAAATTATAAAAAGAATACTTGATCACGGTCAAAAATTTGTTAGAAAATTTCAAAAAAAGTAATTGGATACAGAATGTTGAAAACAAATATGCGTAGCTAAAACTATTAACCTGCACAGAACTTCCATCCAACTGAAAAGTTTGCTGCGAGTTTGGTATTAATATATACGACTTTTGGTCACCATCACTTCCCGAAATATTAATATCAGAGGCCAAATTAACCACCTGCACCTGACATGGTTGATACTGAAAAAATCATAAAATCATGAGTTAATAAGTGAATTGTATACAAATGAAAATATGAAATATTTTATTTTATTAATGATTCATTGTAAATAAAATGAGTCATTAATACCATAAAAGCAAACAGTGATGTACACTCGTTGAAATGTTTCTGAAGTCTTAAATAATATATGTTTCAATACTATAAAATGTAGAATCTGAATTATTAAAAGCTTACATTAACCTGCGAGAATGTTGAGCTCGATGAAGGATGATCTGCGGTATCAAGAACATAGTGATTTGATGGAGTATTATTATTATTCCTGGAAATAATTCTCAACAAGATGAGTAAGAGAGCAGCATACTTATAAACAAAGAAGTAATGATATATATAAAAACAAAAGAAGTATGAGTGTTGAATATCGGTAACAAATTATTTATAGTAATGAAGCAGAAATTAAAAAGAAAAATCAAGAAATAGAGAAAGGAATGCGGTATAGCTAGATCCAAAAATGGAGTACGGCGTTTAAATAGTATGTAATAGCAACTCAGGAAGTAATGGACACCCTCACAGTACCAGATCCCTCCAGGTCGATAAACGGAAACGGTACGGGATACTTCTGTAGCTGAAACATAGGAATCTTGGAAATTTGAATCTAGCAACACCCGCCTACTAATCCGCATTCCACTTACATCTCATTGGCGGACGTTTCAACACAAGTTGGCTGATTGGACGGCACCATTCGAGCAATCCAATCACAATCGATCACTTCTTAAACGAACTATCAGACGACACGCCCGAACATCAATTTCCTCCACTTGCTCTTACACCTGCATACCACAACATCTTGCACTGTCTGCTTCAACGCGGTTAAGCGATAACGTGTCTTGTCTCGATATGCAATAAGTTTGTCATTTCCTGCCCCGATCGATTGCATTAATACAAGTATTCTCAATCTCTCGCTCCTAATACATACATCATCATGGATCGAAGGCATATGATGTACGGGTTTTAGCTTACAAGTTCCTTTCATCCACTCTGCATATGTTAATCACGATCAAATAATACTTCTTTATTTAAATAAAATGTGTGATCCCATTCATTTGCATACATCACACTTCTCCCGCTTTTGCATAGCCTTGCACATCCAACGCATTGTGTGGGAAAATGTTAATGAATACACTTAAACTACTAGGTAATGAATGGAAGCACGCACCCCTCAAATATGTCTGCACTCATTCATTCTATAGCCGTATTTTTGCGCGGTGCAAAGGAAGAGTGCACCGCATTTTTGTTCTTCCGCAGATCAATAAGAATCAAAAGAGTAGAGCAATGAAAGCTACAAATGCTTGCAGCGATTTATCTGCAGTATAACGTGCTGTATACAGCACGTTCTTTCTCTTAATAATAATGTAAACATAAACAGCGCAAAACAATAAAATGATAAATCATGGAAAAGAAATGCTGCCAAGATAACCCTAAACCAGCAAAAGTGCCGTTTCTCACAGCGCGAAAACATTGTCTTCGATATGTCGTACTTGTCGACATTACTACTATATTAAAAATGTACAATACACCAAAATGTTATCATGGGAATATGAATATACAAAGAGTCAAGATTAAGACATACAAACGAGACCAAATATACTTCTGGGACGTCAAAGTTGTTTGCTTTCAGTACACAAATAAACAGAATTTCTAATATAAATGACCATGAAATAAATGCATAACAAACATCTACGCATTCCTCTCTGCGTCAAACAACATCATATAAAATTATGAAGAGAATAAAATGACGGACGAAGAGATCCACGATACAATCTTTACCAAAAACACCGGATTATGTACTTCTAATAATACCAATATGAAACAAACTTAATTTAAAACTTTAAATACTGATTATTCCACACTACTTGGTACATCTACCAAGACTTCAAAATCCTATTCCTATAAAATCGCAGCAAAAATATTTATATATCTAAACACTATGACAAAAACCATGTCATCTAACAAATGGAATCCTCACAAGCTGAAAAAAATCTCTTTTGAATTTCGTACAATGTACAATGTGGACAAAGTGGTGATCATATACAATAAATATGAAAGGGGAATAAGATAGATTTGCTGGTCAAAAATTATCTGTTCAATTTTTTAGGAAAGTTCCATGCACACAACTGTCACAACCTTAAACATACGTTATTAGTTTTTTTTTTTTTTTTTT